GCGGTACATGTACTCTGTTACTCCCCAACACTGCTCATGCCTGATGTGAAAACAAAAATGCAGCACAAACAATTGAAACAGAAAGAGAATCATGACATCTAGAAAAGACTGAGAAGTTTCACACCAGGGGACAAGGTGTTCATCAGAAACTACTCCTATGGTCCGAAGTGGATTCCAGCAGTCACTGTGAGATCATCGACTGGCCTTGATGATCTCTCCCTCGATGGTCTTACATCGTTACAATCGAATCGGGTCAAACTGTGAAGCAACATGTGGATCAGGCGAGAGCAAGAGTTGCAGACACTGTTCCTAGTGCACCGGGGGGTGGAGCCATTACATGACTTCCATGTCATGCCATTCCTGAGTGCTGCTTGCCATCAGGGGTGGGCACCACGCCACAACCATCATCGGAGCCCCAGGAGCTACCATATGCTCCGGAGACTCCGGCTCCCGTAGACTCCTCGGTGGCACTAGTGTTGCAACGTTCCCAGAGACTCTAATGGACTTTGTTAGATAGAATTAGATCTTCCAGGAATAGAGCAAACAATGCAGTCTGATCTCACAGGAAGGACGTATCTTCCTAGTTAGCATTAAAAAAAGAAACATATGTACAGTTGTATGGTTACCATAGTTATGTGTTAATTCCTTGTTAAGCATTTTTCAGTATAAGCATTTGTTTGTAGACAAGCAGGAGATGTGATATTGTAACGAAGCATTTGCTTATATAAATATATATATACGTGTATGGGTATGCATAACAGTTATTATCTCCAGGTACAGGCATTGTTAGTTCATGTTTATTGCTCTGGAAAAGCACACAGAATGGGATGGGTGTGAGAAAGGGCATTTTGTGTTGTTATACCAGCAAGGCCAGGAGAGGTGGTATTGGTGCTGTGTTAAGTAAATGTCATGTAAGAAGACAGAAGAAGAGTGTCATGTAGGAAGTAGACGGACACTCTGATGTTGTGAACATGTGACTACAAAAGGTTCAGTAAACGAGAAGCAACTATGTTCCCCGTGTGTGGCTCAGTGATTCCATTTTTGTTTGGTGAAGATGCAACACCCACAGAAAGCCTTCTTCACCTGCACAAATAGATGTCATTGGTTAAGGCAGACCTTCCCAAAGTGTGCGGCCCGCCCCCTAGGGGGGGTGCAGAGCCACTGCAGGGGGGCTTGGTATGAAAAGGGGAAAAAATGCTTGGACACTGCTAGCACGGGGCGCCTACAGAAACGCAAAGCAGGAGATGAAGCATCGCTGAATATGTTTCCAAACCAACTTCATTCTAAGCCAAAGACTAGAAAATATGGTGAAGCAAATCTTCTCTTTGGCTTCACCTGCACAAGTGCTGAGGTAGGTCTCCCTGCAGGATTGGTTTTCCCTGCGTCGGGAGCAGCGCTGGGCTGTTTAAATCACGGACAAACAGGATCCCACATTCTTGATTTTTAGTTCACAAACACTTGTTGTAATGACTAACTACTCCTGACATTTTGGAGATGTTTGCTCTTTATACAGTAAAGTTACAGCGGGATACAAATAACATCAGGCTGATCCTGCCACAATTTGTTCCCCCGGTTCAAATCACAGACAAACAGGATCCAACAGCTGTTTATGTTTTTGAACCCATTTTACACAGAGAGGCATTTTTTGAAAAATGTATTGACAGTAATGTTGAATATTATTACACAGGAAAAAAACAACTACATGTAAAATAATGACACCGTGACGCCTCTGCCTTTGTAAATGGAGGGACAGTAACTGTGTGTGTGTGAGCATGTAAAACCTGCAGACAGTCAGATTAACAGTATTTTGTCTCTATGTGCCATTCTGCAATTCATCTCATGTAAACAATAAAGTGGCCACAGCGTGACGTGAAAAAAGCACATACCTTTGACGTTGCGTGACGAACTCTGTATTCCTCGTCCACACGGAAACGGAAAAAAGGAGTTTTAAAAAATCTCCGTTTTCGGTGATTCGAAACGGCGTTTACGTGGATTGGAGGATGTGTTTGTGGCATGCGCGTGCGGGGAGGGCGAACATTTTTCTTGTAAAACAAAGGGGGGCCTAGCAAAAAAAAGCTTGGGAACCACTGGGTTAAGGGACTGGTCAGCACTGCAAAGTTTGGCACAAACCAACAGTAGTAACCACTCAACCCCAAGAAACGCCTCACCTGTTTTTTTTGGTCTTGGGATGTGGGCAGGATGCAATATCTGCTGTTTTGTCTGATTTGGGGTGTGCCTGCCTCCCCCTCAAATGCTAGCCCAAATACTGTACCTCCTTCCATCCAACTGCAAACCTCTTTGCCCAGCCTGCTTCGATGACTCCAGGACTGCGGCCACTCGCACATGCTCCGCACAGGCATCACTATGGATGTCTTTGAAGGTTGTCAGTCATCCAGGTCATCGTAGTCTAAGGAGCTTGGAAAAAAAATTGTCTGGACTTCATTAAGTTTCCCAATAGGGCTTAAAAATCTGGGACTCCCGACCAGTTGCTCTTAGAACTGAAGAAGCTTCTTGGATGAGAGGTGAAACGTCTTCAAGAAACTTAAAGAAGTATTTTCCCCCCAAGCTCCTTAGACCCCTTACTATGGCTGTTGACATCATTTAAGTAGGTGGGAGCATATGCAGTATGCAAACACAGAGGATGGGATGGTCAAATTTGGCAACTCCAGCTCCATCTCATGGCCCCGTCTCGTTCTTTGACCAGGCTCATGAGAGAAGTGGTTTCAGCCTCTCTCCTTGTTTTCAGAAGATTGAGGCAATATATCTGAATGGCTCCAGCGCTGTCTGTAGTGTCCCAGCAGCCCACATCTCCAGCATTCTTGTCCCAATGAGACCTATGCCTGGCCTACACAATGGTCTGATCTTCAGGCCCCATCAAGCCTCCTCAGAAACGATGGCGGTCATGTTCTTGAACAAGCCTCAAATGTTCTAGGATAACCCGACACATGTCGTCCACACACTGGTCACAGGTTAAGTTGCACATTACCAGATAAGAGCAGTAGTAAGACAATCAGCAGACTCTGCTTCGTAACAATAGGCCTGTATTTGACTTTCGGAATGTTGAAACTAAACAGAATGTTTCATAACTTGCAAGGTAATCGTACAAAGCAAGAAGATATTGATGTTGAGGTAAATCTTTGGGTAAATCAGATGATGAATGTCATGTGCCAAATGAATTGGAGATTGTACAGATGTACAGCAGCAATAATACATGTGGACCTTGGGACAGAGCACACTG